TCAGTTGTTGTCGATAAGACAACAACTAAGGGACTATGATATTTTTGTTGATTATTTTCCTATACTCTGTGATAACACTAGTGCTATAAACATAGCTAAAAATTCATGTCAACACAAGAGGTCCAAGCACATTGACATTAGACATCATTTTCTCAGAGAAAATGTTGAAAAAGGAAATATCTCAATTAACTTATGTAAAACTAAAGAGCAAATTGCTGATATTTTTACTAAAGCTCTGAGTAGGGATCACTTTGAAAGAAATAGACTGGAACTGGGTCTAATTAATACTTCTAACTAGTTTGAACCCCAATGATTCGCTAGAAAATGTATAATTAGATATAGATGGTCGAGTACAATGTGTTTGATTCAGTCTCGTGCTTGTTTTGAGCACACACAGTCGCCCAGAAAAGTCTAGTTGATAACTATGTCTTATGATACTAACCTATAGTGTTAAAGCTTTATTGCAGAAATGAGTAAGGAGTTACTAAGGAGTTGGTCCTATGACTCAGGTACGTGTCATCTTGTCTTAATTCATTGGGGCTTAATATCTGAAATTACTTCTATACTCAGACTCTCTAATCATGTTAACATCACTCCTAGTTGTCATCCAGTCAAAGATTAAGGGGGAATCCTAGAGCAAATAGAGTCTAATTACTCCTAAAATTCTAACAGTCAATTGTAACTGTTATTAAAGTCCCGTTAGAACTCAAATTCAGTTGCTCTCTTTCTTCCAGTCAAATCAGGAGTTACCTCTTTAAAAGTCCCCTTTTGATCCATTTCTCATACCTCACTATTCCTCTCAAACCCTAAGCAAGAATCAAGAAATATTTCTCTCGCTCTTTCATCAATTTCATTCTCTCATCACCATGCCTAAATCCAGCCAAACTCCCTCTAAAGCAAACTCATCATCCAAGATTGAAGCCAAACCCAAGAACATGAAGCCTAAATCAAAGAAAAGTGCAAAATCATCAAGTGAACCTGCACCCACAACTATTCCTTCTCCACATATACCCTCTACTGTACTGCACCATCTTCCCATATTCCTGTTTTACCCATTATTCCCACATCTACTGGACCTTCACTTCTAAAACCATCTTCTCATACACCTGTGTCTGCTTTGAAAAACACCTCTAAGTCCACTAAGATCAAGGCTACATCAAGAAAATATGTTAAGAGTGACAAGGTGGTGATCGATGTTGCTCCTAAGGTGGACACAGTAGTTAAGGAAGCTATGGCTCGGGGGGAATCAGTGTCAACTACTACAGATCAGGTAAAGTTAGATGTTCTGATTTCTGCTATTAATGTTTCACCCTTATATATTGTTCCACGCACAAGTGATAAACCACGAGTAGAGGAACCTACTGTAGAACCAGACATTACAACTCAGGAGAAAAGAGTAGATACCACTAATGTTATGCCTATGGTTAAGGGGAAAGGTGATAAAGAACCAGTGAATAAAGAGGCTTCTAATGGTTTCTCTTTCAGTTGGATTGACGATGAGGATGATGATAGAGGTGAGGAAGAAGGAGAAGTGGTGGCTAGTCATGAGGAGCATCAGGTTCACGACATGGCTCATGATGATACTGATGAGAAAAGGAGTGAGAATGAGGGGGAATATGATGAGGAGAAGGAGAGTGAGGCGGAAGATAATTTAGATGAACAAGTGAGGGATTCTGGAGAGGAAGAAAAAGATAGTGAGGAAGAAGGTGATTCTGAGAGTAAAGGTGAGGAAGAATTAAAGGGAAGTGAAAGTGAGAGTATTGAACAAGAGAGTGAGGAAGAGAATGAAAAAGGGAATCTGAAGGCTCTATGGCTATTGGGAACATTGTCATAGCCCCTTCAGAAGAAGCAAGTGGAGATAAAAGGGCTAAAGAAACTGAGCCTTTGTTAACTCCTTTCACTAGAGATGAGGAGGTCAACAGTGGTGAGGATCATTTGCCCTTGTCTACAGTAGGGAAGAAGAGCAAGAAAACCCTTGTGAAAGCAACAAAGTCCGTTATCCCTACAAGAAAAGAAGTGTCTCCTCCTGCTAGGACTCCTCTCACAAGAAGTAAAAGAAAGTTTGTTGATGAATAAATCATTAAGGAGTCCAGAGGTGCCAAGAAAGCAAGTTCCAATTGTTGAACCTGGGTTGAGTCGAATGAAGAAGATGAGTCTGATTCTACTTTGCAAGAAAAGACATCAGCACAAAAGAGGAAGGTTGTTAAACCCACCAGGGTAGCTACCACTTCTAAGAAGGCCAGTAAAGGAAAGAAAAGTATGTCTATTGTGGTTGATATGCTCAATGAGTTCAGGAACATAAAAGTGTTGAATGGGAAAATTCTTGCAAACGCTGTTGAGAAAGGGATGGCTCAGTTAGTTGAAAAACTTGAGCTACAGGGATGGAGACACATGTTTGTTAAGGCATTTCCCCCTGTGTATGTGCTTGTTGTGGTGGAATTCTATGCAAACTTCCAATTTGATGGCAAAGTAGTCAAGAGTTTTGTAAGGGGTTTGAGATGGAATTTGATGCTGAAGAGCATAGGATGCTTCTGAATATTCTCTCCTTAGGTTTTGACAACTACTTGAAGAAAAAGTGGCCAGCCATAGACAATGATGTGGACACAGGAATTGTGGTCACAAGGAAGTTCTCTCAGAAGTTTGAGTTAGATGCTCCCTAGAAGGTGTACAAGACTAATATAACTCCCTTTCACAAGTTGTTGTTTCACTTTGTGAACTCCTGCATATTGCAAAGATCTGATAGGAGGCACGAGGCTACCCTATTGGACATGGTTGTGATGGAACTGCTTGACACTGGTAGAGCTATCAATCTCCCTAACTTGATGATTTAGCACATGGCAAGGGCTGCAAACACTTCCAAACCTAAGTATGTTATGCCTTATGGCTTCATGTTAACTGAGTTGTTTGACAAGCTCAATATTGTGTTGCCTGAGCTTAAGTTTGGAAACCACAATGATGTTTTGGATGTTGTTACCCTCAAGCAGTGTAGCTATGAGGAGATCAAGGCAAGGGGACTAATAGGTTCTGCGATTCTACCTGGTAGCAGCTGGGCAGCAGAGCTTACTAAAAGGTTGGAGTTAGCCCTTGAGGAGAATTCCAAGCTTAGAGAAGACAATGATAAGTTGAGAAAAGAAACTAGGTAGTTTGGGGAGGAGCTCACAAGGGACAAAGAGGATCATGCCCAATAGATTGTCACCCTTGTGAAAGCCTTAACCCCATCCTCCTCTCACCCTTGACCCTGGTCCTTCACCCCCTGGATTCAGCTTATTTTGTTATCCCAATGGTGCTTTAGTTCTTGCTTCTTTTGTTCTAGCTCTGAGTAGGTTGCAGGATGTTTAGTTTATTTTTCTCTAATATTTTGAGTCAAGGTCGTGGGCTTAATTTGGCACTGCTAAATGCAATCTCTTATAATGTTTTAATGCTTCTCACATGGTTATATCATCACCTTAGTTTATTTGCTTTGATAATTCTTGTGCTTGTATTGTAGCCTAAATGGTCATGAATCTTTCATTAACTGTGCTTAGTCCGTCTAACATCTTTTTATTTTTTTCGATGATGCCAAAAGGGGAAAGATAGAGTTGGGGATGTTAGTGTTGATGTGGATGTTGTATGCTTGTTGTACATATGTTGTACATGTTCTAGTTCTGGTCATAGTGTGGTGATATGAAGTGATTACCTGATTTTAATGTGCACAAAGTTTGTCATCATAAAAAAGGGTGAATTTGTTGAGTATTGAGGTTTTGATGATTAACAAAGTTTATTCAGATGAAATGCTCTAAGAACCAGGTCCTCAACGTAGTTGCTTAACTGCACTAAGAACCAACTCCTCAAGGTTAAGAACCAGCTCCTCAAGGTTGATGACTGCATGTTTTTGCAAGACAATAACTTTATCACAAAGTTACCCAAGTCCGAGTTTGTTGGAAGAGGACTGCTAAACATGATAAGGGTTGTTGTCCAAGAAGATACGTTTGCATAAGTGAGAGACAAGAGTCCCAAGACTTGTGGAGTCCTTGGAGTAGTAGGAGCCCTATCAAACGAGAAGCTGACTACACATAGGATTCCTAAAAGATCTCGGAGTCTAGGGAATTTAACTACTATCTTTTTGGACTGTTGAGATCATCATTTTGGCATATCAACTGAAGAACTACATTTTCTATACTCAAGTCGAGTACCAGTGTTGTGTTCTTTTTGAGTCAATCTAGTAAATGTGTTTTAGGAAATCGAGTTGTAATCAAAGTGTCATATACGATCAGGGAGTTGGAGTGAGTGTTTGGATTTTGCAAGTTAGAGTAACTTGCAAATCAAATACTCCCTATGTTTCAATTTATGTGAACATATTTTCTTTTTAGTCCGTGCCAAAAAGAATGACCTCTTTCCTTATTTGGAAACAATTTACCTTTATACAATAATTTATAGCCACACAAAATATATGTACCTCATTTTACACCACAAGTTCAAAAGTCTTCTCTCTTTTCTTAAACTATGTGCCCAATCAAATGGGTTCACATAAATTGAAACGGAGGGAGTAGTTTAAGTAGTAAAACTGGAGAGTATTGAGTTACGGATTTGTAATCATACATTTGGATCATTGTTCTAGTGAAGTTGAAGTTAAAATCCTATATGATAGGTCATGATTTTTGCACCTTTTGAGCCGGATAATTTTCCAAGTAAAAATTGTTGTGTTTACTTTACACATATTTTACTTTACGCTTAAGGAGTAAGGTAACGAACCCAATTCTTTAGTAATCCATAAAGGCACTCAATTTAACAAATACAAAATCTCTCCTTCTTCCTTCCTTTTACTCCAACCTAGTTTTACTAATTAACCTGTAAACTCTTTCACCAAGCATATAAAGTATTCCTCAAGGAGTAGTAGAAGAAGAAAAAGACGCAAGTGCGGAGTAGTCAGGTATCATACCGAAGCTATAGGTAATTTACTTTCCCTAGCGTACAGTTGTTCTGGAGTTCATTGTACATTTCCATACTATATGATATATATATACACACAAAATATCACATTGCAAAAATGATTTTGATGATGAATATATACAGTTTCTCTTTAATCTTCACTACATCAAACTCTGTAACTCAGAAGAAGTTGTAGCTTACCAGCCAAATCAAAACCAAAGTAGAATGTCATCCAACTCTTTTTCCTATGAACTTATGCTCTGATCAATAACTCATAGACATTACAGTTGTTATCACCAGAAACACGCTTCAGCATTTCAAAACTTTTACGGCTACCCAGAAATTCAATCCGTTTGAATTCTACATAACCACTCTCGCTAGTCTCTTTACTACAATAAACTGATCTTAGGCGGTCAGCATGCCTTGAATCTGTGTGAATCGCTATCTCCACCTCTGCAACGGACATGTTTTCCTACAGAAATTATAAACGTAATGTTTTAGGAAGTGAAATCTTTCTGTTTGGAATCCATTCTTGAAATAAACCTAAAAATTCACCAAAATCACCACCATAAATAAAAGCAGCAAATCTAGCAAGGGAAAAACCCAATACCTGGTAAAATGCATGTATGTAATCCAACACCCGTAAACACGTGAACCCTTTCTCACTAAAAAAGGTCCTGGAACATGGACCCATTTCGGAAAATCGATCAACTGGAAACAGTATAGTAAGGAAGTTGGTTTTCAATATTAACTCAGATTTTTCACTGCAATCAAACAAAAACGACAAAAAGCAATCAAAGGAAGATTATTACAAGTGTGTTACAGAATACAAGATAAACGGAATAAAAAACAAGAGAGTAAATCACATCTATAGTCCTCAATGATTGAGCTAAGTTGCAATTCGATCCCTATTGTATCAGTTCTACCAAGAGTAACCCAACAGTTTGACATTGATCTTTGAACTGTCCTACGTTAAATTCTAATAAGTACCCACCTGCATGTGACAAGCACATGACTTTCATCATTGGCATTTCTGGTTCGATGAAATAATTGAAAAAGCATTTTTCCTGTTGGAAATGATATCAACATTTGTGTAACATCCGGTACCAAAAAGAGTTAATGTAGTATAAGAACTGTTAGTAAGAGTTGATGTAGAATTAGAAATAATAGGATTAGTTGTTGACACTTGAAAGTATAATACCTATCTAACGCAATCATTGGACCATACACAAACATAATCTAAAACCTATTCAAATTTCCAAGTACATGTTAATACTCTAACAGAACCAACATGATATGCTCAGCGAAGCAAAGATATATGCAATAATTTGCATACAAATTTCAAACACTTGTTTGACACAGCTAAAAGATATATTGCAAGATACCAAGGCAGTAGTCTATTTTGTCAAAAAGTGTCGACTGAGTCAAGGTGAAAGGAGCACTATATCTCACAAGTTTTAAGTCTGCTCGTTGAAACTGTAACAGTCACTGAAAGTAAGAGATCTGACAAACCTTTCTGAAAGCGGTCGGGATAGGTTCACAAATGAAGCTTCAGATGCTTTGTGATCCTCCTTCGCATCAAAGACTACAGAGGTGTTCTGTTGATTTGCATCTTCAGCACTAGAAGAGTCCATGTAAATCGAAGCAGCCGAAGTTGGGTCAGATATCGACCAGCAGATGGAATCTAGAAGGCTGCTCGGAGATAGGTGACGTAAAGGGGTCTGACATGTCTGAAATAACAAAATCGACAAATAAAATTAAATTTAAATTTCATTGAGAACAATAATATATACAAGATCAAGATTAATTCTTGGCAAATTGAGTGCTATACCCAAACAAGGGAAGAACAAGAGTAAAAAGAATTCACTATGATAAAGAGAAGAGAGGTATGTCATGTCATAACAGAAAGTTATAGTATATTGCCAAGTGCCATAACAGGACACAATATAGTAAACCTAAACTATCTATGCATCTAATTACATAGTGAGCTCCACCAAAAAAACTGAAGTTCTTTTACCTGCATACGCCAACCACGACGCTTCCTTACTCCCTCTTTGGCCACATTGACAACATTTAGTCTTTCTTCCTGGTTCACTCTAGGTGTAGAACTTGTGGTATCTTGAATATGAGCACCAGCATTAATTTCCTATAAACAAGTCATAAGAAATTTTAAAATTGAAGAACTATAGCAGGAAAATCTCCAAAGGACGTCCTACAATGCAGAACATTCAGGAAATATATCAACAGAAAATTCAAATTCATTCACATTTTTATTAGTACATGACCAATTTGAAAAGTCAGCCACTGGAGGCCACCCTATCCAACTAATCACTTGCTACATCTTGAAGTTTAGGAAAAGTAGGTGATGACAAACCCAGGCAACGTTTACATGGCATCCGTTCAGCACCTATGTCTGCATAGCATTCAACTATGACGTCTGTAGTTTAAGTCAAGAAATTAGAAAGATAGTCAAGGTATTTAATGACCAGCCAACCTCCTCACTATATATCCACCAATCAACTGTAGATCAAAGGACCTTACAATAGCCACAAGATGCAAGGATCACTCTCTTACTATAAATTGCTCTGTTCATCCGTTACTATAGTCCACCTCTGCCTTGGCATAACTACCAAGAAAAGGTTTGAAATAGAGAACTGCAGAAGTAGTTGATTAGAAATGTGAAGTTACAAGTTAACTTTGTGTATTTGGAGAATAGTATAGAGGAAAAGTTGTGCTGAAAAGAGTAAAAGAAGGGCCCTGCTGAACTTTATGTATTGTTATATAAGAAGTCTTAGAATGTTTCCTTAAAGAAAAGTGGTGATCACTTTGGAGCTAACCAGAAAGACTACTTCCATATTTTGGTCAATGCCAGCAGTGAATTACTGAGTTTAACTAGGATCCAATTGCAAATTCCGTAACTACTCCGAGTCCATAGTCAAGGGCAAGGATATAAAGCTACATCAATGGGAAACCCTATATACATACAAAACCAAAAATACATGGTCCATCTAGAGATCTTACATTAGGAAAAAGACAATCCTTAAGAGTTTGGGAAAAAATTACCATGATACCCTTATGACATGTATGTTTTCTTTGAGATTTGTGGGAAAACCAGAAAAACAGAGTACTACTTCTAAATAAAGACTAAAAACCCCTAGCACATGGTCAAAACTACAAATCCTTGAACCAATGTTAGACTAGTTTCCCTGGACCACCAACCGCAATTAAAGCCCAAGTTATGTGACTTTCAGACCACATGTACTCACAGAATTACTGCACCATGGCACCCACCTCAAATAAAAGATTAACCAGATCCTTCAATTAGTATGTTGTCCTTGTGCGAGAAAGAAAAGGATAAATATGTTTTTTGTAATGACGTAGATCAATCTGCTTTCTGAAGGAGCATTGTCATAGAAACCACAAAGCTAACATCCTTTGGATTTAAAAAATTGGAAGATATTCTAAACAGTCTTTAAGATGATAGAGAAAGCACCTTTGGAAAGTTCACCAGTAATAATATGGAGAGAGAGAAAGAGAAGGAAGGTGGGTGAATACATACTTTACTATTAATTGTATTCTGAATGCTATCAAGTAATATTCCAGTTTGCCTAGCCAAATCAGCAGACATATGAACAAGCCTTTGCAGGCGCTTTTCCTTTGCACTCTTCAGAACCCAAAGCGGCTGACAAAAAGGTTTATTTATTTTTAGAAGCAATTCAAATGAAGAAATGAATCGGGGGAATGATACGATATTCCTTGAGGGGAATGTAAAGCTCTTGCCTAAGACAAGATAAAAGTGGGATCAGAGAAATGTAAATTCATCAAACTTAAATTTTCACTTCTCATTAAAATTGCGAACATGAGAAAGCATTCATGCTTACTCACTAAATGGATGGAGTAACACTTACTGTGACAATGTTAGAGGAATGGCCAAGGTATTTCCGAATTGAGTTTCCTTCACAGACTACATGACTTGCAGCACAACCAACAAACCACTGATCCACCAAACAAGCACCTTCTGCTGCAGCAGACTCGATGACCTAAGTTTTACAACAAGTCAGAAAATAGTACAACCCACCTTTAATAACTTGATTATATTCAGATGACCTAAGCTTCAGAATATGATGCAATATAGGGACGCGTATTGCTGTAACAAACAAAGAAAAATGCCAAGTGGCATAGCAACGATTTTCAGTGAAACAAAAGGAATAAACATATAAGACTTAGATAAGCAGTACTGCAGCAAAACAATCTTGTATATGTTGAAAGAAATATCAATTTTGAGCTTTTCTATAACAACCTAAACATACCTTACTACGCAGCTCATCAGATACATCTGCATCAACATAAAAGGTATGATTGAACAGAGTCCTTCTATTAGGTTCTCTTTCAGTATGCATAAGTGGCTCTTCAATCATGTGAGGTGGTTTGCTATTTTCAGGCAACGCAACAGGGAGACATGAACGCTGCCTGCTGGCTCTCTGAGCAAGCCCGTCGATATCATCTACTGAGAGACCATCTTGTCCAACACCTTTAACACTATAAAGAGATTCACTCAACCTCACTGGAGCAAACACAAGCAATAATGTTTTAGTCATAGACAAAATAGGACAAATCAAAAGTAACAAATTTCCTAAACCTTTTGTGAAAGAAGCGACAGAAATATGGATTGTGCTTTGATAACAAACGAAAAGTAAAAGGCTTATTCATTACAGAAGGAAACAAATTCTAGTTAACCATCAATTTTTGTAACTACTTTTAGTTGATTATCCATGTAGAAGCATCTTAAGCATCTTCAAGAAAGAAAAGAAGCGGCTTATTTCATCTAAATAAAAACATGAAGGATAAAGCTTCGTGTATCTTTTCAACCATTTTAACACCAAATGTGTTCATGCATTAAGTTCAGGAAATTCAAGAAAGCCTATATATCAGCATTGTCTCTCTGTTCTACAGTTGTGCTTCTGTAGAATAGAATTAAATGCTATGAAGCGATGGTGGATCCAAAGCGCTAACCCACTGCCTTCTGCTTAAACAATGTATAAGTCGTCGAAAATTTTCCAGAATATATATTTATACTACACTTGCATCCATTATCATAAAAAATGGTAGTGGCTTAAAATCGGGTATCTTCCTTTGCCGAAAAAAATCTATTACGAATCACAACTGACTATGTTATTCAAATTGAAAGAAGTAAAGGTTACCCAAAAAACAGAAGCAGGATCAGCACATTCAACAGTCCATTTCGAGGAAGAATAAATAAGAAAGTTAATCAATTGAAAAAGAACATAAAACATGCAATACAAGAGTGATACAGAAAACAAGTAATGAAGCTAATAAAAATTACAAACAGATGACACTCCTTACCATTCCTTCTTACACTATCCACAAACCATGACAGTGTAACAACCTGGAGACCATTTTTTGAACCATGTTTCGAGGCATGCTCAAACTTACGTCCAGAAAAGCTGTAGTAGACATTAAGGAATACCAATCCAGGCAACAAATCTTAACCAAAAAATTACAAACACTAGACCTGAATCACCCGATAACCTGTGTGTAATAAGCAAGTTATAAACACTTAACTAGATCCATCTATCCGATTCTCATTTCTCCTCGTTGTTTAAGTATGGAAAAGATAAGCTGTCAACTGGATAAAATACTACAAGTACTATTGTTTACCAGAGTCGTAAACATAAAGAGGGTATAGAGAAATAATGATCAAGGATTTAAAAAATGCAGGAAAAAAAGGATATCTGAACCACCAGATGGGTACATTGAGGGTGCAAATGTGGGCTGTATTTACCACCTAATCTCTCTGTTGCTTCCATCACTTGCTTCCTAGCTTCTGTAAATAACATATCGAAGACAATTATAAGTTGAAGAAAAAGAAATTAAAAGTAGAGGAATCGAACCAGTGGCAGAGCCGGGAACTCCAACAAGGGATTCAAACAAATGCAAACTTGAACAAGTGAGTGAATACACTAAACTATCAAGGAGATTCAACGACTACTATAAACCAAAAAATTCATTTTTACCCTATTTGTGCGGTGTAATTTTTTGACACAAGTTATTCAATTGAACCCCATCAACACACTTAGCTCCGCCACTAAATAGAACACATCACCGTCAACTTCATACTAAAAAACAAGAAAAGCTACAATCTTTCATCTTCTCTTTCAATTCAAAACAGTTTTTATTTAGGCAAAAGCTCACAAAATATTCCAAAAATCATACCTTTAGAAAGTCCAGTAACACAGATAACAAGTCCATAAAATGGATAATTGGATCGAGTGGTAACTGTTGATTCAGACATAACAGAGGCAGAGGAAGCAGGAGACATTATGAGTGGTTCTAATGAATAAGAAGGAATCCCTCTGAATGAAGAGGAAAAATCCACTAACAACTTTGAACACCCTTTGCTGCTTACCACCTCCACTCTTCCTTCCCTACCCATTTCAAACCAAACATCAAGAAAACACAAAAGTATAATAAAAATGGTTCAAAGGGAGGGAAAAAGAAAAAGAAAAAGACTTAATTGGATTTGATTCTTGAAAAAAATTAGAGAAGGGTTGGAAGGAATAGGGAAAAAGAGGGAGATAGATTTTTTGGAATATACTAGTACAAGGAAGAGGTGTAAAAAGAGAGAGAGGAAACTAAAGGGAAGATTTTGGATCAATGGATATTATTAAAAGAATGAAGAGACAAATCGAACATTTTTTATTTTCAAAAGAATCTCCCTCTTTAGATAGAGCCTTTTCTTTATCATTCTTTCAGTCATAGGGAAGTTAAGAAAAGGGTCTTTGGAATCATGGGTATTTGGAGTCTCTACACACACACACACACAGAAGAGCAAACATAACCGTATTTTTCCACTGTTTAAGGAAAGAGAGGGGAGAGTTAGAATGAAGGATTTGAAAGTTGAAAGTGGTGACAGTCTGAAATAAGAATCTTATGAAAAACTTTATCCAACTTTTGCTTTTTTGAGGAGTGGGTTCAGAAATGAGGGGATGGAACAGGAGGGGACCCTTTTTTTGAAGTTCAAACGAACATTCAACAAGCTCTGCTCGTTGTTGACACCGCGCAGAAATGAGAATAGCAAAAATGTTTCAAAATTTGTTATGGAAATGGACAATTTCTTCTCCCTTATTACTTTACTAATGCCCTTGTCTCTTTTTCTCTCAAAAGGAAAATTATCAAATATTTCCCTAAAATTAAGCCAACTTTGTCATTTGTTAAACCTTTCTTTTAATATTGAAAAAAGTAGGTTGTCGTTGGCATCTATTAAATACCCGATATGTAAGTAATTTAAAATCATAATCAAAAGTTATACGATAAATTTGAATATTTCTTTTTTCAAAAATTTGGATATGTCATTTCGTGGTGGAGCTACCCATTGACATACGAGACGATTTACTGATATGAATTGATCAAAAGTATAATGGATGACAAAATTGAATATTTGTTCTCGTCAAAATATTGACCTTCTTGGTTTTCTGAATCTGAGTTTGCATCTTGATTTAATAGACCAAAAGAAAAGGTTAGTCGGCCGCTAAGAGAAGTAGTGGCATGTCTATTAATATATATTACCTATGGGGTGTAAATTGCCCTCCGTTATAGTAAACGATTTCCTTGTTTGGAAAATCTTTTAGAGTTGTTAGAGTGAAATAATTCCAAAATTTTATGTCGATACCATATTAAATTGTCATTGGAATTAGAAATTTACAACTATGAGGAAAAAAATATGTTTCTTCTCTGTTTTATAGATGAAAAAAGACTCTAGGTTTAAGTGCATTCAAACTGTGGGATTCAAATCAAACATCACATGGTTGAGCTGCGCAACGAAAGGGTGTATTAGTAGCTTTCCAAGAATGATGAAGTCTCCATTCGTCAGCTTTCAGCAATACTACTAATAAACTTCTATATAGTGCTGAACACGCACCTACGCACAGGGTCCGAAAAAGGGGTGGATTATAAGGATCTTTTTATACGTAGTCTTCCCCTGCATTTTTGCAAGAGCATATTTTCACAGCTTAAACCCGTAACCTCCTGGTCATATGCCAACAATTTTATCAGTACACCAAGATTACCCTTCAAACAAATGGAAAAGAATTAATTCGTCAACCTCTAATATGCATATGATAGCATACATGTGTTACTATTCAGGATGTGTTGGATGAATGGAATCTCTAAAAATGGAAGAAATTTCCTACAAAGGGAATTATGTAACGATCCGACCGGTCGTTTTGAGTATTATAATCCCGTTCCCCCATTTACTGCTCAATTTATGCTTTACAGTTGTTTTATGATTTAACGAGTTAGTTGGTTCGAGTCCGGAAGGATTTCAGAGTAAAATGAGACACTTAGTCTCTTAATTGAAAACTTAAGTTGGAAAAGTTGATCGGATATTGACTTATGTGTAAACGACCTCGGAATTTAATTATGATGATTCCAATAGCTCTGTATGGTGATTTTGGACTTAGAAGCATGTCCGAAAAATTATTTGGAGGTACGTAGTGGAATCAGGCTTGAAATAGCGAAAGTCGAATTTTTAGGAAGTTTGACCGGGGGCTGACTTTTTGATATCGGGGTCGAAATCCGATTCTAAAAATTTTAATAGGCATGTTATGTCATTTATAGCTTGTGTGCAAAATTTGAGGTCAATCGGACATGATTTGATAGGTTCCGGCGTCGTTTATGGAAACTTGAAATTTCAAAGTTCATTAGGCTTGAATTGGGGTATGATTCGTGATTTTAGCGTTGTTTGAGGTAATTTGAGGGTTCGACTAAGTTCGTATGATGTTATGGGATATGTTGGTATATTTAGTTGAGGTCCCGGGGACCTTGGGTGAGTTTCGGATGATTAATAGATCAAATTCGGACTTCGAAGAAAATCTGAAGGTTTCTGCCATCTAATATAATCGCACATGCGGAATTTCCATCGCAGGTGCGAGCTCGCAGAAGTGAGCCTTCCATCGCATGTGCGTCCAGGTGTGGCTGGGGCTTCGATCGCAGAAGCGGCCCCGCACCTGCGGGCGTATGATCGCAGAAGCGCAAGGGCGCTTAGTGAGGCAGCTTCGCAGAAGCAGACAACTCCTCGCAGAAGCGTGTACGCAGATGCGCACAAAATCCCGCAGAAGCGGAAACCCTTGGGTAGTACAAAAACATAGGGGTTCTGAGCTTTTGCTATTTTTGGGCATTTCAAGCTCGAGCTGGGCGATTTTGAGCGAGGTTTTCACGAAAAATCTTGAGGTAAGTCACTTGTGATCATTTCTACTCTATATATTGAATTATCATCGAATAATCCGACTAGATTACATGTTTTTAATGTATAAATTGAGGATTTGAACTTAGGGATTTGAAAATAAGATTTGAAGATTTGGAGGTCGAGTTGAGATTGGATTTTGGTAAAATTGGTATGGTTAGACTCGTGGTTGAATGGGCTTCCGAATTTTATAACTTTTGTCAGGTTCCGAGACGTGGACCCCACGGACAATTTTTAAGCTAAATTTCAGATTTTGATGGAAAATTAATAGTTTCTTATGAAATTAATTCCAATAAATTTTATTGACTGAATCGAATTATTTATGGCTAGATTCGAGGCGTTTTGGAGGCCAATTCACGAGGCAAAGGCATAGCAAAGTAGAAAATTACACTGTTTGAGGTAAGTAACAGTTCTAAATTTGGTCCTAAGGGTATAAAACCCCGGAATATGTATTATGTGATTGATTTTGAGGTGACGCACATGCTAGATGACGGACGTATGGGCGTGCACCGTAGGAATGGTGATTTGGTCAAATTCCATGGAACTGTGTAGTTGAATAATATGCTGATACCACTACATTCTCTATGTGTTAGAGAAAATTAAGTTGAGACTCGTATTAAAAATCATGCTTAGACATATGTTGTTATTATTGATACCCACTGAGGTCATTTTTGTGGTTGAATTATATATTCAAATTGTAATTTCACACTCAGTCATGTTCATGTCATATCTCAGTCTCTGTTGCTATTTATTGATACATCATATTATCATTTTGGGCTGATTTTCATGACATCTTGAGTCCGAGAGACTGGAGAGATTAATGACTGAATGAGCCGAGGGCCTAATTATGAGGATATTTATGGATCGAGTTACACGCTGCAGCATGTTCATTGATTTATGCCACGGTTGGCTTGATATAGCGCTTGGGCTGAAGGAGCCTCTCAGGAGTCTGTACGCACCCCCAATGAGCGCAGGTACTTACTGAGTGCGAGTGCCGAGTGATGAGTGACTATGAGGAATGAGCGACTGTGAGGAATGAGTGACTGTGAGGAAAGAGTGGCTGTGAGGTTGGAGTGAATGGGAGGATTGCTTGACTATTACTCTGAGAGGATGCATTGATTTCATTATTTGCTACATTTCGGCTGTCATATATCACTATTGTTTTTTAAAACTTCGGAAAACATTATTTTCTGTTTCAGTCAAACTTGATATGAAATTTCAGTGAAATCCTAAATGTTGAACTTGAGAGCATGCCTGCTCTTTTATATTGGAAAGCACTGTATTTGAATTTAGCTGAGAAACTCGTCACTACTTTTAGTTCTTTATTTATTATTGTTACTTACTGAGTTGGTTGTACTCATACTACACCCTTCACTTCGTGTGCAGATCTAGGTGATCCCGGATACACTGGGTGTTGATTCTTTCACACAGTCGATTTTTCGGAGATTCAAAGGTAACTGTCATGTTTCGCAGACCTTGTCTCTTCTTCCCTATCCTTTGTTTATTGTATTTGGTCTCAGAATATTATAGATCACGTTTTTCAGGCTTGTAATGTATAGATGCTCATTTACTCAATGACACCAGGTTTTTGGGAGTGTGTGTATCGGTTATTGCGAGACTTGTGGATTGTGTTTAAATATTATATTTTCAAACTTAAAAAGATATTGTGTTTTATTGAGGTTGTCAGTTTGACTAGTATCGAGATATCCGCCATCACAACAGATTAGGATTTGGATCGTGATAAATTCTCTCTTTAATATTAAACTATTTAATACTATTTAACTTGAATTTGAATTAGTCGAATTAATAGATTACTAGTGTCATAAGATTATAACGGGAAGAAAAGACGTACGTATGTGCTTTCATCTTCTACTCATTTTAGTTGGGACATGGCTCATCGAACTGTCACTTCTACATGCAAAAAGTAGTTGACTTTAATAATAATTTTGATTAAAAAAAAGTGAGAGGGAAATGAACTCTTGTCACTCTTGATGGGGTATATCATATATGATGGATGGTGAAAGGGCTCGTATTCCAATTTACAGATCCCATGCATCGTGTGCAACATTACGCGTAATGTAGTTATCACGTCTTAGTTTTTAGCTTTAATTTAATTTCCTTAAAAAATAATATACAAGGTTGTATCTGGCATGTCTCTCTAAACTTTTCCATGATTATGAGCCCCTTTGGACATAAGAATTTTTTTTTTTTTAAAAATAATGTTTGGTTATCAAAATCTTACAATTTTTCCAATCTCATTTAAAAATATATTTTTAAATTTGAAAAATCGGTGATGAGAACCAGTTTTTCAATTGAAAATGGGAAGGTTGCTAGTTTTAGTTGCAAAATATGTTGAAAAAAAGATATTCAAATATGCTGCAAAAATTATAACCAAACACAATTTCATCTTCAATTCAAATTTTAGTGAAATTTCAAATTTTTTTTTTTTTTTTTGGAATTCATGTCCAAACGCCTACTACATATCATACGATCACAATATAAGGGGTAGTTTGGTAAGAGATATTAGAAAAAATAGTGCAATCATTAATTTTGTTCATTACTAATTCCTAATTATTTGGTATATTTTTTCAACCTATGTATAACTAATACAAATATTAATTATAAATCTTATTTGGTATTATCATATGTATAACTAATACATAGCAAACCATGGTATTAGCAATGCGGTTTTTAATACTTGCATAAACATGGTTAAAGACATATTGCCCTCCAAATCCCTCAAAATCTATTCCAAATACTTTTCTCCATATTTTGTATGTATATTTTATATTATGATATTTTAATTAGTGTTTCCCCTTTAGCAATTTACTATAATCAAAATAATATCATATTTAAGACTAAATTTGATTTTGAATTCGTTCAAAATATAAAATAGAGTTTTTTTTATTTGGTTAAAA